TATTTTAGCTTTTAGATAGCCTTTTGCTATTTTAGCTTTTAGCTACCATGCATGCTGCGGCTGTCAGCTAGCGTTTTGATACTTTTAGCTATGCTTTTGCTGTTTTAGCTTTCAGCTATCCTTTAGGCTAGCCTTGAAAAAGCATTTACCTACTTTTGACACTTTGGCTTTTGCTATATTAGCTTTTAGCCAGGCTTTTGATACTTTCAGCTAACATTTTGATACTTTTGGCCACACATTTTCAAGACTGTTAATTCTTACTTTTTGCAACATTTAGCATTGTACAGCTTTCAGCCAGTATTCTGCTGCTTTTAGCTTGATGACATTTAGCTTTTTTACCTTTGTTCACTTATTTTAGCTTTAATAACTCAGTTTTAGTTCTCTGGCTTTCATTCAGAGCTCATTATATAGAAAGTGTTTTTTTCTTTCTTTCTATTTTTTTCTCATAATTTGGTAGTTTTTTTTTTCAATAATTTTTAGTTCATGAATTTCACAAAACCTGACACAAAACAGATTTTGTTTTAATTACTTCAGTTAAATTTCTGAATAGTAGCTATGAAAAGTCAAGTTAATCAGTATTTTAATACCAACAAGGTGATTATTGGCTTCAAATTTAGCAACAGTGCATGTTTAATTTATAGGAAAAAAATAACATGAAATTCCATCAGCAAGTTGAAATGTTTCAAAATAACATGTTAACAGCAAAACACATTTTTATTTTTCAAAATTAACATATTTTCCACATGTGAAAAGACATTGAGACACTTTTCATTTGTTGTAAAGTCATTGTTAGGTCCAAAGACTTGACAGCAAATTAAGGATAATTGAAATGCCTTCTAAAGGAAAAAAGGATTTGAAAGGTAAAGGCCTTTGGAAATAAATAAACTAAGAATGGTTAAAACTTTTCCTTTTACTATAGAAATCCAGAACTCATATTTTTTAAATTTTTTGTAGAAAATAGAAAAAACTCTACAATTGATTTTCTTATTGTTTTAGAATAAATTGTTTTTCAGATTTTTATTTTATTTTATTTTATTTTGTCAAAGAGTCAAAGGAAAAACACATTTCAGATGCTTGGGATTCATGTTAGGATCAAGAAACACACTCTTCCAAAAGGAAATATTAAACAAAACTGAGGGAAAATGAGTGAGGGAAAAACATTTAATGTCTAAAATAATCTTAAGTTTGGAGAGACGTGGGTCCAGTTTACAACACGTTCAGTCTGGCAGCTTTATATCGGGTAAGAGAACCCACAGGCTTTCAAACATCAATGATCATTTATTTTACTTGAGCATTGATTCATACAACACAAGGTGGTACTTTTTTTTATGACTGCGCCCTCTGGCGGCGCCTCATAGGAAGTGTCCGGGGCGTTGACGTCACGACGTTTGCGGAGGAGGCGTGGCTTCGTTCTGCTGCAGCAGCGGAGAAACATGACATAAGAGGCGAGGGAGTGAGACAGCCTGGTAGGAATAAACGGTACGTCAGAGGTCTGGATGAAAACGTAATGATGGGGAGCAATGACTGAAATCGCCACGGTAAGAGGCTGAGCGCTTTTCGTTTGTCCTTTCTTATTTCCTCCCTGGTGCCATTTGTTTTCTCCATGAACTGTTATTATTCGCGGCTCATTTGAGACAGTGTGAACACAAAAGGCTGCCTCTGCAGAAAGAAGGTGCACCTGCCTTTTATTCGTGTACGTGCCTCGATGCGTTCAACTTCAGGTTCCGCGCGATTACCGTTATTTCAGGGCGAAGGCAAACAATCCAAGGCCCCAGATGTAACCTCATCGACGGGTTGGGATGGGATATTTACCGGACTGTTGGAGTGAAATGCTTTAAACATGTATGCTTAGTCACAGATGTAGGACCATACAGTAGCAACATATAGCCTAAATAAATAATACAGAACATGTAGGGGTAGTAGCACATACAAAAAGCCTAAAAAGCTTAGTTATTACTGGTGCAGACATAAAGTGTAATCAGAGTGATCAGAATATGATTTGAGCATATATATATTGTGTGTGTGTGTGTGTGTGTGTGTGTGTGTGTGTGTGTGTG